TCTGCATTCCCATAGACTCGATATTCAGGCACAGGCTTGGTTGCATCTTGCTGTAATTAGAGCTTCACGTCTGTCTCATTGGTGAGTTCCTGGAGAAGAGGAACTGTGTATTTATTAGTAACCTTTTCACCTCCCTGCTTAGCAGAGTGACTGGCATGTAGTAGCCTCTGCTTGAGTGTTTGCTGAATAACTGAATGAGGGGAGGCTCTATCCCAAGCTACCACACCTGGAGAACTCCCCAGAGAAAGGGATGAAGACAGACTCATCCTACTGCCTCAGGACTCGTGTGTGTGTGTGTGTGTGTGTGTGTACATCCAACAGCAACTTTCACAGTGGGCCACCAAAGCCTAGTGGAACTAACTGGCATTTAAACCAGATACCCTATGTTTTGCTAGAGCAAAGGTAGTCAATTTTTTTTTGTTTTTTTAAGACGGAGTTTTGCTCTGTCTCCCAGACTCAAGTGCAGTGGTGCGATCTTGGCTCACTGCAACCTCCGCCTCCTGTGTTCAAGCAATTCTCCTGCCTCAGCCTCCCAAGTAGCTGAAATTACAGGTGCTGGCCATCACGGCTGGTTAATTTTTGTATTTTTAGTAGAGACAGGGTTTCACAATATTTCCCAGGCTGGTCTTGAACTCCTGGAGCTCAAGTGATCCGCCCCCCTCGGCCTTCCAAAGTGCTGGGATTATAGGCATGGACCACCACATCCATCCCTAAAATATGTTTTTAAAGTTTTTAAAAAGTGTTAAAAAGTCAGAAGTTTTAAAAAATGTTATTCATACTTTAAGCCCAGCAATTCCACTTCTAGGAGATTATGCTAAGCATCATCATGGCTATATGTCTATATGTTTATGGTCTAGAGGCCATCAACATAAACATGTGTGTGGCTGAGCAGGTGGAAGGAGCTGGGTAAAGGATATGCATACTGTGGCGTGGGCGATGGGAAGGACCGTGGCATGCTAGAAAAGGCTTGCCTGTTATTGTGATTCAAGGACAGAGATCCAGAGTACCCAAAGGTTGTTTTTCAATAGGGCCCAAAAGTCTCAGTTTAGAAATATTGGCTGTGGTGGATTGCAAAAAATCGACCCAAATTATTCCCCTCCTCTCTCCATGCCTTTCGGTAGAGCCCTCCCACAGTGACTCTGAGCTGGCACATGACTGGCTTTGGCCAGAGATGTCAGCAAAAGGGACGCAAACAGAGGCTTGAAAGGTGTTTCCACACAGGGGCTTGCCTTCTTGCTGCCCCGGAAACCCCCGCCACTACTACCATGTAAAGAAGACAGGGTAACCTGACGGATAAAAGGGTGTGACCTAGACACACGTGACCCATTGCCCCAGGAAATAGCCTGTGACTTTCCAGACACATGAGTGAGGCCACCCTAGGGCATCCTTCCTCAGCCACCCACCAGCTGACCACAGATGCACGAGACAGCCCAGCAGAAATCAGCTGAGTGGCCCAGATTGGAAGAGCAAGCCGAGCCAGCTCACAGAATTGTGGGCTAAATTCTAAGCCAATACATTTGTTGTTTGAAGCCATTACATCTTGGGGGTGGTTTGCTATATAAAAAAGCTAATTGAGAACAAAATTAAAATATGTTTGGCGCTAAACAAAGCAGGGATCGAATTCATTGTAACGTCTGATGAATGTAAAGATTTAACCACAAATGCTCCCTTCCTTGCATCACTTTATAATAACGAAAAAGCAAAACCGACCTAAAGATCCATGCAGGGAAGTGGTTAAGACATGATGGCCTAACCGCATACTGGAAAGGTACGCATTGCTGAAAATGATGGCAGAGAATAGTGGCAACACATAGACTACCAACCCTTCATAAGTGTGCCATCAAATTTTGATCAACAGGTAAAATTTCATTGCCCTCCCGGAACACGTACTCTTGTGGAAATGGAACACGAAGCTGATTGGATCATCAGGTAGCATAGAGGCCATCTTGCTGTAAGGAAGACAGAAAATCTCAGAATAAAGCCCAGACCGTGCTAAACTTTGCTTTTTGAGGATATAAGAGTGCACAGAGGGGAGCCGTAAACAGCTCTACTCAAATAGCGGAACGTGGTTCCAAATGGGGATGGAGCAAAAAGTGGGACAATGGTTTTGAGAGTGAAAGACATTGCTATACTTGTTGTCATCTTTTTAGTAGCTAAGTGTATTTTTATCTCTTCAAACATGCCACCAAAAATTATAGGACTTGAAAGTGTGTGGTGAACACAAAGGATGTTGAAATCATTGGCATAGAGAAATAATAACACAGAAAGACAGTTTGATGTTATATAAAAGATGCCACTTGTAAAGCAGCAGGTACGATATAATCCCATTCTTGTTATAAAATCGAAAACTTAATTTAGTTAATTTTAAGCCATGAATATAACCATTTGGAGTATGGCATTGAGGAATATTTAAATTTTAATTACACATTTTAGTCTCTCTAAATAGTCCTCACATTGACAAAAAAATGTGTATTATCATTTGGAAAATATAACACTTTTTATAAGGAAATGCAGAGAAAATCCTATTCTTTTTATAAAAAGAATATGCAGGCAGAGAAAACTAACTGGAGGACAGGGAAGAAAATTGGGATGTACAGTGCTTAGATGGGAGTAGGGGTAATTCTTATTTTTCTTCATCTTGTTTTTTTTCCAACTGCCATAATAAACATGTATTTTATGTTGAGAAAATTTAATAAAAGTTATAGTTTTAAAAACATTAAGGGCCACACTCACGCATAGAAAAGGCTTGCCTGTTATTGTGATTCAAGGACGGGGATCCAGAGTAGCCAAAGGTTGTTTTTCAATAGGGCCCAGAAATCTCAGTTTAGAAATACTGGCTGTGGTGGATTGCAAAACATGGACCCAAATATGCGCGCGAGCACACACACACACACACACACACACACGCTCCAACCCAACCCAAAGTGCTGCAAGACTATATATTAATATACTTTTTGTCAGTGCCTGCAAACGCTCTTGCCACCTCGCTGCATTCATTCAGAGTCTTCTTGGGGGTAAACAAGAAATTTCTCTGAAATTGTAGAATCTTCTCCCATACAAAACACAGGCAATCCCTGCAGGCTCATCACCTCCCCACTTCTGTTAGGAGGCAGGCAGCTGCTATGTAGCATTATTCGTCATGGCCAGAGGTAGACCAAGATAGGGATTCAGCTGCTCTGCTCTTCTACTCTGCAAACCTTCTGCAAGCACCTGAGCAGGCCCAAGGAGGGGCTGCTGCCATTTGGTGGTGAAGACACTCTTCTTGTTAAGGGCAACAAGTCAGAGGTCTCTAAGGGCCCCCTCGGCCCTGTCTGTCTGGCCCATCATGGGCTTGTTCTTCACTAATTGTCTCTCACTGCTGACAGAGCCCACAAGTGTCTTTATGCGTGACAGATTCCTTGCAAATGGTGAATGGCGGAAAGATGACCCAGCTAATCATCAGACCTGCTAATGCCATCTAGTCAGATGCAGCAGAGCCCAGCTCTACTCACTCATCCATGAATGTGACTCTGAGCTGTGAGAACAAAAGCCAGAGCAACTCTCTATTAGGAAACGCGGGGGAAGACAGCAATATAACAAGTCCCAGGTTCAAAATGACAAGTGATTCACTGAAGATGCCACAGCAGTATAGTCTATCACTGGGCACAGTGAGACGGCCAAAACTATGAGAATTTTACAAGATAATGAATTATTGACTGGGTTACAAAATGGAAGATTTGAACTGATAAGGCCAGTAGACTATCCTTTTGAACCGAATTCATTGAAAGAATAAACTGTGGCATAGCAGCTTTTTTTTAGTAACGGGAATATGGTTACAAGATGCCTGAAAGGATATTATCCACATACTATTGTCATCTTTTTAAGCACCCACTTTGCATTCAACTCTACCATTCTATAAACTTATTCTTGGAATGGACAGAAATAAAAAAACATGATTTTTTTCCTCCCTTTTGAAAAATCCTGAGTTATGTTAGAATTAGGAAACAGATTCCATAATTATTAATAAGGATAGATAACAGATTGGCTCCATTGTAAAGTTTATAAAATCAAATCCCATTTTAAAGCTTAGTAAGAAATGTGGCGATAGTAGCTCCTCCCACAGTGCCCTCAGCTTTCAGCCACTATTCAGTTTTGCCTGTGGTCTAACTACACCTTCAGCCACAGTGGCGGCAAATTAACAGCTACCATTTCCTGAAAGCTGACAGCGAACCGCATCTGGATGTGCTCTTGGCGGATATTATTGCTTTAATCATCACAAAGACCTCAGAGGTGAGTACAGTCATTTCCTCATTCTCCCAATGGGAAACTGAGGCATAGAAAGGGTAACTTGTCCAGGGCCATACAGCTAGTAGGCGGGGAGCAGGAGTCAAGCTTCTTCAGTGAGCATGCAAGAGAGGAGGGAAGGAGTCCTGTGGAGCAGTTGGAAAGGACTCAAGAGCTGGTGCCCAAGCTCATCCACCCTGGGCCAATCGCTCAATCTCTCTACAGAAGGAGTTGAACCACCTTGCCCACTGCCCACTCAGGATGGCTGAGAGGTCCAAATGAGATCACATACAGGAAAGGCCATGAAAACAGTAAAGTATTCTATAAGCACCATGTGCTATTAATAAAAGGACAGAAGACTAAATCACACTCCTTAGGAGCACAACACTTCAATCATTCTGGCTTCAGTGGAAAGATCACACCCCCTCTCATCCCGACTTAATGCTTTCAATAAACTGCACAGGATTTTCTTGAGCAATCTTTTAAAGATGAAGGGCTCAGGTATGCTTGCTGGTACTTGAACTGGTCTTTGCAGGGAGTTTTAGTGTCTTACGACATTTAATACAGACATCCTGCCTGAGCTATTTATCCTGACTTGGGAAAGTAACCATTTCACTGTTACTATGAATTCTGTTCCAAAGAGAAAAAAAAGACTACTGTAATTTTACACCCTTAATCTATGCAATACAGGAACGAGAAAGGAAAAAAAAAAAAAAAAAACCCAACGCACTACTTTCTCATGAATGAGGCACATTATATGTAGTAATTCACATTTTATTATTTTATCATTATGAATAGTAAAGTCCACAGTTCAGTCCTCAGACAACATTCAGGTAAATGTTTTACATATGAGACACCTGCTTGTAATGTGATGACATGATATATATATATATATTTTTGAACCACTGTGATTTAATAGTCTATTAAAATGCCATTACACATTTAAAAACTGAACAATTACAACAATGCAATCTTCAAGCAATTAAAAACAAAGAATTGTTGAGCCACCGTGAGAGATCTGCTGAGTAATCTGGCCTTTCAAATAACGTCTAGTGGAAACCCTGTTTTCTCCTTCCATCTGAGGATCATTAAAAATAAAAAACAAACCTACACAAAAATCCACCTGCTCTGAGTGAAAGTCAGGATTCAGCCACATGACTCAGGGACTCACTCCCCAGCGGTTGGTGGAGGCACCATCACTCCAACATGTGCAGGAGCAGTGAGGGGTCCACGTCCATGGCCCGCAGCCCGTTGTGCAGGCTCTGGAAGGTGGCCTGCTTCCCGAAGCGCTGCCGCCAACGGACGAAGGCCTCTACCACCTGCGACTGCACGTTGTGGGGGTGGTTGGCCTTACAGCGGTAGATATCTGTCTGGGACAGTCCCAGAGACAGCACCACGGGCTCCCACTCAGGACCCAGCCTCTGGGCCAGCCGGTTAATCTGCCGGTCTGATGGGGAGCTGTTGAGGATGTGCGAGGGGATTCCAGTCAATCTGTCACCTGAGGAGGAAAAAGAAACCCGGGTGAAATGAGCAAGGCAACAAACACATCATTTGGGGGCAGAAATGAGAATCGTGGGGAGAAGAAAGCAATGCTTCCAAATGGCAGAGCCAATTGGCTCTCGTCTTCCTGGGGGCTGCTCTGTACAATGCCATGATTCAGGGTTTCAATACCGTTTAGTACCTACGAAAACATTTTTTACAGAAACTTTTTATTTTATTTTATTTTATTTTTTGAGATGGAGTTTCACTCTGTCACCCAGGCTGGAGAGCAGTGGCATGATATTGACTCACTACAAACTCCGCCTCCTGAGCTCAAGTGATTCTCCTGTTTCAGCCTCCCCAGTAGCTGGGATTACAGGCACCTGCCACCATGCCCAGCTAATTTTTGTATTTTTAGCAGAGACAGGGTTTCACCATGTTGGCCAGGCTGGTCTTGAACTCCTGATCTCAGGTGATCCACCTGTCTTGGCCTCCCAAAGTGCTAGGATTACAGGCGAGAGCCATAGAACCCGGCCTATTACAGAAACTTTGTAAGCAAGAAAATAAAAACTAGAAATCCCACCAGAAAAACTGACTGATAATAACTGGTCTATTTCCTTTCATATATAAAACACATATGTAGGGTTACCTTGTACATGCTGCTTTGTAACATGCTTTTTTCACTTATATCCCTTTTACTCAAGGCCAGGCAAGGCGTCTGGGGGAATTCAAGAATGGCTGCACAGACCTCAGCTCCTTCTGGCACTGTCTGTGGCCTTAGTGGTGGGGCCTGTTCCAAGGCTGGGAATGCCCCTCCCTGCAGGAAAGGCAGGTGCTAGAGGACAAAGGCTAAACCAAACAGCTACCCTCCCCAGTGAGATTGAACTTCAAATATTACTGAGAGAAGGTGTAGCTGCTAACAGAAGCAGGAGCCAAGAGGGTTGCCGAGAACAAAATAAACCTAAGAGGCCATGGGGTAGCAGGAAGGGAGGAGAGTGGGGTTTGTTCGTAGCAGAGGCCACAACAGTGGAGTTACCGTCCTGGCAGAGCCCAGAAGAGGAACAGGAAATACGTGCTGAGACGGAGCAAGGAGGAAATCTGACCTTCTACTTCCTGAACTAGATTCCTATTTGCCTGAGGCCAGTCTGCTGAGAAGCATGACACTAAGTAAATGGTTATAAATGTGCCCAGCAAGACCAGTGAGCAGTGCCTTTGGTTATATAGAAGGAGCTCCTAAGTTCATTAGGGAAGGCCTTCCAGGGGAAGGAGGCTAAAGCTAAGCCCTGAACACTAGGAGGAGGAGCTGGGTGATGAAGGAGGAAGAGGGCGTGGTGAATCTCGAGAAGAGAGAATTGCATGTGCAAAGGCGAGGAGAATCCCAATGGAGGAAGTCAAAGGCACTCGCAGCAGCCAAGTGCAGAGATTGAGAGGGACTTCAAATATCCAAAGTCATTCGCTAGGTTCAGACATTTGACAGCACAGTACACTATACTCCCGTCCATCAGCATCACAGGGATTCAGGTCAGTCTACTTCATGCTCACCAGTCCACTACTGTGTTTTGATTTATGATTCAATAAGAAGGCAAAGGCACCTTATTACAAGAGCTGATGTTTTCCACAGACTGTGCCTTTGGCCTCTGGGCAGTGGCCAACACCTTAGAGTTGCAAAAATATTGTCAAGGGCTCTTTCTGGTGTTTGTCAACACTACAATTTAAAAAACAAGGACTAAGAAGCAATTAGAATACTGATGACACTACTTATCAATAGTTGAGATTAACAGCAATGATTTTACGGTTTGTATAAAAACATAGGCTCATTTAAAAAAATTAAAGCGGCCGGGCGCGGTGGCTCATGCCTGTAATCCCAGCACTTTGGGAGGCCGAGGCGGGCGGATCACAAGGTCCGGAGATCGAGACCACGGTGAAACCCTGTCTCTACTAAAAATACAAAAAATTAGCCGGGCGCAGTAGTGGGCGCCTGCGGTCCCAGCTACTCAGGAGGCTGAGGCAGGAGAATGGCGTGAACCCGGGAGGCGAAGCTTGCAGTGAGCCGAGATCATGCCACTGCACTCCAGCCTGAGGGACACAGCGAGACTCCGTCTCAAAAAAAAAAAAAAAAAAAAATTAAAGCAACAGAAAACAGCACAAAGAGGAAAAGAAATCATCCAATATCCCGCCATTGTGTTTACAGTTGGTGACCATCATTCCGGATATTTCTTTACGCACATACCCTGGTAGAAGGCTAGATAGAGGGTAATGGGTTCATTTAAAATGATAATATATGAACTTTTCTTTCTAGTAAGAGCTATTTATTTGTTTGGATATAACAGAAGAAAAAGCAGAAGTGAAAGAAAATGACATTCTGACTGGCAGTTATAAGTTACATACTTGAAAACACACACATACACACAATTTAATGCACAGAAAAAAGTTACAAAAACTCAAGGGTTAACTGCATGTTTTTATAGTAATACTCTATAATTACTTTACATTTCCTCTCCATTTCCTCACACTTGATTTTTTTTTTTTTTTTTGCTTATATAATTTGTATTTTGTCAGATGCCTAACAGTTATACATTTCTTTAACAATCATCCATGCCCCTTGTCCCATTGTTTAGTCCTAAGGTGGAATTATAAAGGTTTGAATGCTCAGCAGTGTTTTGTTGTTGCTGCTGTTGTTACTGTTTTTCATCTGTGGCTTTTCTACTCCTGGGTCTGTTCTTCTGATTTGAGTCATTTGGGTCAATTTCATCACACGGTGGTTTTTTTTTTGTTTTTTTTGTTTTCAAGAAATGCTCATGATTGCAATAGTCCCTGACTTCTTTCAGGTCAAGGCGGCCTGCTTATTGCCTTTGCTGGAATAATAACTTAATATTTAGCAAACAATTTTATATTATTTTTATCTTTTTTATATTCATAATTTTATATTATATTATTTAAATAATTTTATTTCCCTTAAAAGTTTGTAGGCCTTGTTCATACTTTCTGGTAGGGGTTGTTGAAAAATGTGGAGAATTCTGATACCAACTTAGTCATCCAGTATTTTGTGTAACTTGCTTTTCCTGTCTGAGGTCTAAATACCGAAACTTTAGACCAGGGTATATGTTATCCATTTTATATCTGCACTTCCAGGTATGTGGCATAACCTTCCAACCAAAGATTCAGTTGTGTCTTCCTTTTGGGAAAATCTTCCTGGGTCACATGGTTGCATTCTTTTCTTGCTCCATATGCTGGACGGGTGTGCCTCTCCTCCATGGCTGTCATATTGTTCCTATTGCTTTAATCCCCTCCTTGGGATTATCTCACTCTTTGATTTTCAGCTATGTCTATCCTGTGTGTGTGTGTGTGTGTGTGTGTGTTTTCTGGTTTTAACGTTGTATTGTGTTTTTGTTCTTAATTTCTTTTCTTGGCTCTTTTAAAAATTCCATTCCACTTCACACTCATTAGGAGAGCTACTATCAAAACAAACAAACAAACAAACAAAAACCAGGAAGTCCCAAATGTTGGCAAGGGTGTGGAGAAATTGGAACCCTTGTGCTGTATTGGTGGGAATGGAAAATGGTGCAGCTGCTGTGGAAAACAGTATGGCAGTTCCTCAAAAATTTAAAAATAGAATTAACGTATGATCCAGCAATCCCACTGCTGGGTATATACTCAAAAGCATTGAATGTAGGGACTCAAAGAGAAATTCTTACACCTACGTTCACAGCAGCATTATTCACAATAGCCAAAAGGTGGAAGCAAACTAAGTATCCATCACTGGATGAATGGATATGCAAAACAGGGTACAGACATACAACAGAATATTATTCAGCCTTAAAAAGGATGGAAATTCTGACTCATGCTCCAACATGGATGAATCTTGAAGACATTAAGCTAAGTAAAATCAGCCAGTCACAAAAGGACAAATACTTTCTGATTCTATTCATATGAGGTACTTGGAGTGGTCAAATTCAGACACAGAAAGTAGAATGCTGGTTGCCAGGGGCTGGAAGAGGGAGAAATGGGGAATTATTGTTTCATGGGTGCAGAATTTCAGTTCCGAAAGATGAAGACTTTTGGAGATTGGTTATAAAACAATGTGAAGGTACTTAACATGACTGAACTGTACATTTAAAAATGGTTACAATGGCAAATTTTATGTCATGTACATTTTACCACAGTTAAAAATAAAAATTAAAAAGAATCCCATTGTTGTTTTATCATAGCTACATCTTGAGTTTTTGTTTCTACTGAATCGATGCTGAGCCTTTCTATAGCATAAGATACTTGTGAGGTTGAGTTTTCTAGGACTGGGTTTTCTGATAGACCAGATTGGTTGTATGTTTATTTTGGCAAACTGTGTTCCTTTCTTTTCTTTTCTTTATTTAAAAAATATATATATTTAATAGAGACAGGGTCTCACTATGTTGCCCAGGCTGGTCTCAAACTCCTGGCCTCAAGTGATCCTCGCGCCCCAGCCTCCCAAAGTTTTGGGATTACAGGTGCGAACCACCGTGCCCAGCCAACAAACTGTGCTCCTCTCTTGCATTCCTCTGCTGCAGCATTTCACAGAGTAGTCGTGACACTCACTGCCATCTTGTTCATACCAACAACGTGAGCATCTCTGTCCAGAACTGCTCTTTGCTCTCCTAGAGCAAGCTGATGTATCTTTTGACGCTCTCCTCACTTCATAGGGAACCAGTTGTCATTCTACCTCTGAGCTACGATTTTAGGTTGGCTGCTGCTTTCCATGAACATTTCTGCCATGGAGGAGTGGTAGGAGTAATGAGGCCTGACTTTGGGAGCTCTATACTCTGTCCTCTTTTGGAGGGGAGTTAAATGTCTTAGACCAGGGCCTACTCTGCCTAACCAGGGCAGACTCACACCTATGGTCTCTTTCCTGTAACTCAACACAGAGACTAGGAGATGGCCTCCCCTGGGTGCCTTCCTGACTCTGACTCTGCCAAGGGTTTTTTTTTTTTTTTTTTTTTAACATTTATCATGTCTATCCACTCACCACCTCAACCAGCTGCTTCC